TCTTCGTCGCCATCGCCAGTCCGACCGCATTGGCTACACCTTGTCCTAATGGACCAGTCGTCACCTCGATACCTTCATGTTCGATCTCGGGATGTCCTGGGCACAGCGCATCGGTGCGCTCTGAGTGGTACGACTTCAACTGGTCGAAAGTCATGGCTTTGTAGCCTGTGAGGTGAAGGAAGGTGTACTGGAAAAGACAAGTGTGACCATTTGACAGGACGAATCGGTCTCGGTTGAAATAGTCAGGCGTGTGCGGTGCGTATCGCATGACATATTTCCATAAAGCGACACCAATAGCCGCCATACCGATAGCTCCTCTATACCATGATCAGCCTTACGCCTACAAGAGTTGGTTGTGGACCTTACCCGGGATGCCCGCCATTGAATTGCTGGCATAGATCCGCGATGAGCAACCTAAATGTCTTCAAGACATGATCTTGCTCTTTCGATAACTTCTGGACAGACGACTGTTCCAGCTTCGCCTCTTTCTTCAGTCCATCTACGACGTTCTTGCCGTAACCGGTCGAGCCGCCGACCTGCGGTGAATCTTGCGAGGTATGCATTATGTAAGGTTATGCGGAAACTTGCGAGTTGCGAACTTCACAATGCAAACATTAGTAGTTCTACAGATCAAACAACATCAGGAGGCGCATCATACATAAGTACACCCCGTGCTGTACTGAAAACTAATCTTCGACGTCTATCCAGAACATTTGGCCGGGCATGCCACATTCGGTAATCCGACGCGTCGCTATTGCGGAGGCAAGCTCGGTGTCTCCAATTCCTATTGGACGACGAGGCCATGGACTAGACAAATGCAGTAACCAGAGCCACCAACACACTACGTCGTCAGTCCCGCTGGACGTTTCCCCGCATTTTGCCACGACTATTGCGCATTCCGGTCTCCAGGTTGGGGGACGGGATTTCCACTTTGGCAAGAATGGCAATCTGGCGCGCTGAACATGTGGGGCTACTTGATGCATCGCTACCCTTCTCCCCCAGGTTGACAGCAGTTGCTCTTACTGGCGGTAATCGAACTTCACACCGCGACAAGTAAACATGACCCCAGCACTGGTAGATGCGTCTTCCGCTTCCGAAGCCCATGTACAGAAACCTACTATCAAGACACCGCTGCCGAATCCCTCGCTGCAAGTCACTGCAGACCACAACTTGAAGCTACAAGAAGCGCCTGTGTATGCACCAGCAAAGGGAGAAGTACTATTGCATATCAAGGCTACGGGTGTTTGTGGGTAAGATGCTTCAACTTGACGGGCATGTCCAAAGCTTACAACGATCCGCCAGATCTGACATTCATTTCTGGAAAGCTGGGAGGATAGGCTCGCTCGTCGTCGAAGGAGATTGTATCCTCGGTCATGAAGCAGCTGGCATCGTTCTACAATGTGGCGAAGGTGTTACGACTTTGAAGCCTGGTAGATGCGCCTCTCCGATTTCAAGACCACTACTAACATATACTCCAGGCGATCGCGTAGCAGTCGAACCCGGCGTTCCATGCGGCACATGTTTCCTCTGCATGGATGGTCGATACAACCTCTGTGAAGAAGTCCAATTCGCCGGCGTCTACCCCTACCACGGCACGATCCAACGCTACAAAACGCATCCCGCGAAATGGTGTCACAAACTCCCACCTAGTGTATCCTATGCCGAGGGCGCGCTCCTCGAACCACTTTCCGTCGTCATGCATGGTATCAAATCCGCCGGCCTATCTCTAGGACGCGGTGCAGTTATTTGCGGCGCAGGTCCTATTGGTCTCATCGCGCTTGCTGCAGCGAGAGCAAGTGGAGCGCATCCCCTTGTTATCACGGATCTTGAGCCTAAGCGCCTGGCATTCGCAAAGCAATTCGTACCATCGGCCTTCACGTACCAGGTCGACCGCAATATAGATGCCCAAGGCAATGCGAAGAAGATCAGAGAGTTGTTCGATTTCGAGAACGTGGGTGAGTATGGTGCACCGGAGACTGTGCTGGAGTGCACGGGTGTGGAGAGTAGTGTTGTTACAGCTGCGTACACAGCGAGGAGAGGGGGCACGGTTATGGTGATTGGGGTTGGGAGGGAGATAATGAATAATTTGCCGTTCATGCATCTGAGTCTTGCTGAGGTAGGTGGACTGCACCTGATCTTGTTCATGTTGGTGAGCAAGTTTGAGATTGTGTTTGCTAATATTGCTACAGATTGATCTCAAGTTCATCAATCGATATCGCGATACTTGGCCTTCTGGTCTTCAATGCCTGGCTGGTGGTATCCTTGATCTCAAACCACTTGTTAGCCATACGTTCCCGTTGGAGAAGGCGCTTGATGCATTGCACACTTGTGGTGATTTGAGCAATGGCAGTATCAAGGTGCAGATCATCGATGAAGTGGACGATGTGTTGTAGAATGTTTAGCTCGGCTAATCAATGGCGGAAACGTTCGATCTGAAAGCAGGCTTGTTGATGCTAGCAATCACCTTCGATGGGATAGATGGCTCCTTCCCCGCGCGCCCAACATGCAGCTTGATTATGCTTGGTGTGTCTTTGATTCTGTCAGCCCAAGATGGCTGGTCGGACGTAGAAAGAATTGGATGAGATGTTTGTTAATTGTGTCAAGGCGAGAAGGTTTGGGACGCATATGACGGATGCGGAAGCTATGGGTCAGGCGATCGAGAAGAAGGAAGCCGCATAGATTGCTGAGGTAAAATGTCAATACAGCAAACCGAAAGGCCGCTTGAGCAGCAAGCTCAACACCTATATAGAGGAGCCGACACATCCCGCTAAACTTACTCCTAGACCGTCCGTACTTGACTCTTCGCATACATAGGCGACCAGACACACCTAAAGAAATGCCATTTGACTGTACAGGTCTATCTGATCTATTGACGCGCTTCACACCAGTCCAGGACAGCGTGTTGCGCCATCTCGACATCGGGGATATCATCGCACTCTCACGCGCCGCAAAGGCGTTTAGTGATTATGTGCGCCTGGTCGAGCGAACGCAGTTTAATATCAACGAAAAGCTGAAGGTGTTTGTGAAAAGTCCGAAAGCGTTTCGCTCGCTACAGGCGAAGCATAACATCCTTATCAGCGGATCTTTTGCGTTCAGCTTCATGCTGAGAATACCGCTCAACTTCCGCTTGTTTGATATCCCTACGACTATGCTGGACAGGCTCTTAGTGGAGAGAGGCCCACATGCCGAGGCCCTGAGATCGTTTCTCGAAAACGAGGGTTACAGGGTCAAGGACAGCTCCATCCCAAACGTAGGTGCTCTGTTGTAGCATCGACGAGCTTTTGCCGTACTTGAAGTAGCTGACCGCAGGTTTAGCACCCATTCATGGAACGTGATACCGTCGAGGGCCGTCAGACCGTCTACATTCGAGAGACGGAACATACTCCTCTCTTCGTGATATTGAACTCGATCTTGACTTGCGACGTCAACTTCATTACCTGGAATAAAGCATACTCTGTGTTTCCATACCACACTTTCATTCTGAAGCAAGGTCACCTACTTATGGACATCAAGCATTGGGAACATCTTCCACAGGAACTGGCTAAATGGATGCGTGTTGGGATTGACATCGCCCCTTGTAGTCTTCCGGATGCGCTTCTCCCACACGCGAAGACTGACTCTACGTCTACATTGCTAGGAAACCGGCTGGTCGGCGATCAAAGTTCTTGGGTGGTACCGCTGAACACTGACTACGTCACGCCATCTCCCTTCCCCGATCTTCTCATCGACTATGCTGGCTTTGAGGTGACTACGTTCTTGAACGACGAAACCGAGACTCTGCTAGACTCTCCATCTCCTCAGTTCAATCATTACACCCTTGAGATGACGGTCGTCAAGAGCTTTGTTTTACGCCATCAGTACATCTTCGCCGACAAAGCTTACCCGGAGCAACACCATTTCAGAGGTCGTACAATCGTACAGCTCTACGCTCTGGGCGCTGCAAGGCGACCATCGGTATTTGCGCAGATCTTAGCTCAAACAAACCATCCGAATCTACGTGCCATCGCAGGGTTTGTACCACCGGATAGCTGGAAGTATTACGACAACAAGATGCTCAAGATGTTGGAGATGAGGTATCCGGGGGCTTTCCAGGTAGCTGCAGGGGAAGTAGCGGAGAAATAGGATCTCTGTATATTGCGATCGTGAATGAAGTAGCATCAAAACGTTGTACGTCGCATCACGAAGAATTTAACTACCATGCAATTGCTCTCTGCGATGCCACCGTGAGTTGCCATACATCCCCTAGTACGCCATTCTCCCCACGATTTCACATGCAGCAACCCAGCAGCCCGTAACTATCTTTGTCCCCAAACACCCATACTACCCCAGCACCTCTTCTCTCTGTTCTCTCAGCCCCAAACGCCATCCTCCGACTCCAATCTTTATCCTGCAACCCGAATCCTCCCACCTCCTCGGTAACCGAAGACCCCGGACCCATCTATTTCAAGTACCCACCCGCGCATATCTAGAACAAGACACGTGCCCGGCATGCCAGCACATCGTAATGCACTGTACCACAAAAGGAGAAAAGCGTAGTATACCTGGGTGTGCTAAACGCGAACGTGGGGGCTGGGTGCGGGAATAACACCGTGACGAATGTGGATGGACATGGATGTGCGTTTAACAAGACTTTTAATCGCCGAACACCACGGGAATGGAACGGGAAGTTTCATATGTCGGGTCTGAATATGCAGGACTTCTGAAAACGGTTCGCGATTACCCATGGCATATGGTCTTAGCGGACCAGAGTGCTTCACTGCTGAAGGAGTAAGTGTGCTCGTGACGCTTGGGATGTCACACAGGAATACTCGCTGAGCGGGTATGACGGGCCTTGGATCTGTGCAATCCCGATGGGCATATGTGATGGAGTGGAGTGTGGAACTTAATGTATATGTTGAATTCGCTGTAAAAATGCAGACGATGCCATGAGGTAGAGCGGTGATGTCGTGCCCAAATGAGTATGATCCCATACCTCCCATCTAAGTAACATGCTTGTGAACTCATTTGACCGCCTTGGACGTGGCGTCATGCTCACTAGCGTCATCATCCAAATCGTCGTCCCATTCATCCCTCCTGACGCCACTCTGTTCGGCCACTGAAGTAGCACCAGGCGGTGGCGCATCGTCGTCGCTCTCGTCCTCGAATGCAGCTGGATCGGCTAGTGGCTGACTCTCCGGATCGACGTTCCTTCCCTCTGGACTGCTTCTCTTCGGCGCACCTTCTACCCCTTCATCGGCAGAGACGGAGATGCCCCTCCGACCCCACTTGTTCTTCGGTTGTGTGGTATCGTTGCGCTGTCCAGCGGTTTCCTCGTCGTAGTCGAAGTCCATGCTCTTCCGGCCCACGAATCGACTCACGATCCATCCACGACCGAGATCATCCGAGTCTACCACGCCGCCGTGTCGGAGCTTCACGCGCTGACGCGTGTAGTATACCCATGCGAAGTCGATCATGAGTGCCGTCTGTATGGAGCCCCAGACCCACGATGTAGGGTCGAGATAGTCGTCTTCCTTGACGCCACGCATGATCCAGTTGAGAACATATAGGGCGCGGTATGTACCTAGTGTGACTAGGTAGTAGGAGTCGATGACGGTGGGTACGGTGGTCTGGCGGAGGAGGAGCAGTTGCGGGATTACGCAGACAGATTCGAGGATTTCGGAAAAGACCCAGAGAATCTATCATGTCAGCATCTAGTCGAGTTTCTGAGGGTGTGAGCATCTTACCTTCATAAAGGTGCTGTGCCCGAGAACGTGATCCCTAAACATAAGGTACCAGAATGGGGTGATGACGATGCTGCCTAACAGACAGTACATGCCAAACTTCCATGCCTTCTCTCGCTCCCTTGTCCGCGCGTATACACTTGTCATCAAGAAGATGATGTATAGCGATGATAGCGTGTAGAATATCTGACCGGTTAGCCGCGTACGCGTAAACGTATGCCGGGCCTCCGTACCTTCAGTGAGAAGTTCCACGTATGCCACCCATCTTTGGTGATGGAAGAGCTGAAGATATCGAGATATCGCGTGCCGAAGACGAGCGCGTAGAGGACCTGGGTGATGAGGGATACACCTGCATACGTCAGCCCATGCTGCAAGCTTCAAGTGGTGATAAGATCCAACTCACCCTCAGCACTGCTGTTGGAGTGTATCGCCCATATCAGTATCAGCTTCGATGACGTATGCGAGACGTCGCCGAGGATGTGAAAGAGGTTGAACCCCATCTTTGGGATAAATAATGCTATGCGACGGCTACACAGCACTAGGCCAGCCGCCTGTCGCCTACGTGTTGGGGCTCAAAGCGCGCTTCCGGCACTCGGTGCCAATAAGAGGATCGGGGATAAATATGTGCCGGCGCGAGGATGTGCAGCACCACTTCCGGTAGGATTTGGGGTCGAGAATAGGAAAGGACGGGGAGGCGATGGGCGGGCTGGTTGGTGATGCGTAATGTCTTCCCCGGGTTTGACGCAAGCTACCACGCTACCTGTAACGTGCTTGGCAATTCCCAAGGGTCCACACTAGCGCGTCACATGCGGCCTAGTCGCTCGAGCCAGCCTGGAGAATCGGAACGCGAGGCTGCAAACTCCACATCTGGTTCTGAGATATGTGGTCTAGCTTCGAGGATTTGCAGGAGATTAAAGATTGTTGGCGAGCTTAGACGATGTTGAGAATTGCGTTTGCATGCATGCGTCTTTCTCCATAGGCGGTCGGACTGTGCACCGATCCGGCATAGGCTACCGACTGCTTGGTCGGAACGCTCATCGTGACCTTGCAGCTCAGAAGTTTTGATCTACTAAAACCCGTTCTCAGCAAGCGTAACTTTTAGATCGACCCGTATATCACTCGAGGGGCAGCATTTGCGAGGCCGGGTGCCAGTGGATCCGCACTAGATGACCCCGAGAGGCTCGTTTCGCTTTTGAACCACAGCACGCGTGCTTGTGCAAGTCGAAGTATGTCACAAAAGGATTGCTGCATATCGCACAAGGAGTTGAAGTCAAAAGCGGGACCACATTACAAATGTATGGCACGATAATAGTCGGGCGGTGTGAGGCGCAGCGAGCGAGCCAAGCAGACATTGTGGCTCAACTTACGCCCCGTGCTATTCCGAGATGCGAAGTCCACACAGCCTTGCAAACGAGCGTCTATATCGTCCATAGATCCCGTCGCAGTATTTCAGTAAGTCGGATAGTGAACTACAGCGCCGCATAGGTGCCACTCGCAGCCTCATATCGGTGTTTCTTGCGGCGAAGATCATGGACGCCTGGGTCAGGACTCCAAGGCATCCAACGTGGCGCGCGGGACGGATGGCAGCATCCTTAGGCCAGGTACGCAATCCTTCGCTGTACCTACGTATACTTCGAGAAGGTCATATGAGCTCCGTATCCGTAACGGTGAAGATGTTGCCGACTCTAGGCGGGCATGCAGTGGTTGCGATGTGAGTGGCCAACTTCGTCACTTCGCAATATCTCAGGCAAAAGTGCGGATCCAGCCCCTCAGGCTGCGTGCAACAGTACGCTGTACGGCGTAGTTATTGCAAATACCCGCGATAGAACAGATCCATCAAGTGCCGCAACGTGTATGTTTCCACTTTTACGTCGGAACGGTTGTCAACCGGGAAGGCTGAGTGAATCAAGGCAGATTCTGCGCCCATAAAAAAAGCAAGACAGAAACTGCAAGTCGGAGGACGAACGTAAAACAATGGAGTCGCAGCTATATCGAGAGTCAAAAGGCAGTGTACCAAGATCTGGAGCCGCCGCTTGCTGCGGTCGCAAAGTTCAGTGCGTCACCACGGGCACCACCCACGCTCCACTTCACGGAAAGACCATGAAGGACGCTCTTCAACACAGGAAGTGTCGCAGGTATTCTGCCGATACGAAGCCCTTCGACGAAACACGGCAGACAAAGTAACGAGTGAGGATCACCGTTGGAAGACAACAAGGAAGCGGGGTCTTCGGGCACTGGACCGCCGCACAAACGAAGTCTTTTAGCCGTTCAACAACGCACAGCCCAGATTGACTAGTAGCAGATATGTACCATGGCGGTGGGGGGTCACACCCATTGAGCATTGTGCGGAAGGTCGCTGTCGGCGGTATTCCACGGAGCAGACCCGTGGTGTGGGGCGAGAATCGACATGGCAGACGTAGACGCTAGCAAGCGACGTGATGTGGATAGCAGTGGTGGCAGTGATCTTCGCTGATATCGTGAGCAAGTGCTGTGTGAGAGGTGCGACGAAGAGGAGGTGAGTTGGAAGGGTGGGAACAAGGACGAAAGGGGCGAATTAGCGGTCATTGCCCAGCCGAAGCGTATATTAGCGGCCAATAGAAATTACCGCAAGCGTGCATTTAAGCGCCGTCGCGTCCTTCGCTTTCAGCTTACGCACCCTATGCGGGGCAATTTACTGGCTTTGAGGCAGCTCGACGGCACAGCTGTCCAGGCGCACCGAATGGGAAGACACGGCTGGCCAAATTTCCTCGTTGCTGCGCGATGGAGTGCACCCCTTGTTGACGGCATCCTATGGCGCCGCCAGCACAGACAGGTTCGTCAATATCACGCTGCATCGAAAAGAGATTAACCCGCTGGGTCGCGATTGTGGGAGGAGTCTCAGACGTCAGGGCCGACGTCAGGGTGGCCGCCTTACTGAAGGTTACATTCTACTTCCACCCTCAAAAACCACAGGTATGCGCACTAGCCACGGTGCCGTGTAGCGGGCACACCCTGGCCGGCCAGGCGTGTAGCGGATTCCGGTAGCAAGGCTGCCGCGACGCCCACACGGTCATGATCACCGTTGTTGCAGGACACCACCTAGAAAACCCAGCGCAGCGTTCCGGGCCAGCAAATGGGCCGGACACAACCGTCGAGCGACGCTGCATGGCTGGCCAATTCGCGGCTCAAGCGCAAGGCATGGCATGCTGGGGTCAGGCCCGCCAAACCACGGAGAGACAGGTGAAGAGCAGGGTGAAAGCTCGGGGCGCTAACGTGCAGGCCTGACCGTCAGTGCGCAGCAGCATCCTTCAAAGCCTACTGGGGGTGGCACGTTAGAGTCGACGCACTAGAAGTGACCTGCACTCGAGGCCGCTATACCGCTACCATCTTGATAAATATGACTGAGGCGTTCCCCTAGCCTAGTCGTCCAGCTCGAGCCTGAATATCATCACCGTGCGCCGCATCCTCTTCTTGCTACCGCCCGTCTCCAGTCTGCTACATTAGCGACCAGCAGTAAGGCGCAGCACATAAGCTTCTTCAAATCCTACCCGCAGCCGCAGTTGTCATGTCTATCATACTTGAAGGTGCTATCCTCCCTCCGCATCATCTCCAAGACAAGTCAGCCTCGTCCTGGCCAAGTCCCTACCACCCTCAGTACTACCCCGCGTTGGCCTCCTCGCCTGGCACCATGTCTCCACAGTCCTTTCATTCATACAATCCACGCTTGCCAGAAAGCCCTCTGCCTACTCAAGAGCTCAACTGTCAGCCGACTACTGGGTGGTATGCCCCCTCAATTTCGGCCCCAGAGTGCCATAGCGAGGTTTGTACTTCACCCTTGTTGCGAGATCGGCTACTCATATGCCGTCGTCTAGACCACATACGCCTCATATGGCTATATACCTCCACACACGGCGCAGGTCAACTTGTCACCGCCTGCGTCTGCATCCTACTACTCAGCAACAGCTCCAGTGTCCACTACGCATTCATCAACAGCCATCTCTCCCGGTACCGTCTATTCTCGAGACTCCGTAGTACCAGAGTCAACACGGCCATCTGAAGAGCCCCAATCCGACGCAAGGACTGTCTTGCATCAGCCCACTTCTCGCTACAGGAGACAGTCTCACTTCATGGACCGGACTCACAGCGGTTCAGACTCGTTGCATTCGGCCGCAGTGGACGGCACCTGGACGATGAACGCACTAGGTATTCATGCGAATCACGAAGCCTACTATCCGGCATTCCCAACCCATAGTCCCCGAGTGAGTGAGCCATCAACAGAGCTATCGTCAAGCCACATGCCCTCGCCCCAACCCCGACGCATGTACACACCGATCGCTCCTCTTCCCCTGGAGACACCCCGTTCGCACGGAACCAAGCGACAGAGGGAAGACGACGAAGAAGAAGAGCCTAAGCGAAGAAAGCGGTCAGACTCACAGATATCGACCCAGTTTGAGCTCAGTGAGGAAGACCGTCTACTTCTTCGGCTCAAAGAGGAAGAGCACATGCCTTGGAAGGACATCGCAGCACGCTTTGTCAAAGACTTCGGCAGGCAGTACCAAATACCCGCACTGCAGATGCGTATCAAGCGACTAAAAGAACGGATGCGTCAGTGGACTGAAGTAGACGTCCAAGCACTGCGCAAAGCCCATGACTACTGGGTGCAAAACAAGTTCGACATCATCGCGCAAAAGGTATGCATCACCACCATCGATCCCAAGTACAGCCACTGACTCCCATAGATGCTCGATTACGGCGCAGAAGAAAAATGGACCGCACGCCAATGCTCTCGCAAATGGCAAGAGATCGATCCAACACCCATACCCTACACGCAGTTCGATCACCACGTCCAGCACGTTCAGCAAGGCTTTGCACCCTATGCGATGAGCCCCATCGAGCCCACGCCCATGAACTTCCCTCCCTTCCTGCACCAGCACCATACCACCTAGTCAACCTCGCCAGTGTCAGCCTCGCTTATTACGGCAGGAGGATGCGGGTAAACCACGCCGCATCGCTCTTCCTTTCTGATTCTTCCACTCCTAGGGATTGTCCCATCGGGGCAACATGTCTAAGTCTAAACGCTTCCCGCGATGCGGCACAGACACACCGGCGTTTAGCAAAGCGAGAGAGAAAAAACGGGCGGCTTGCATGGCTTGGGTCAGGGAGTTCTATGGGGCACAGCAAGCAGCAACCAGCGCGCAACGCTTCTTAACGTTCGCCTTTTATGTCATTTATCTTCTTCTTTCGCTCGATACCCTTGCTTAACTAACTACATTTGTTGAGATATCTTATTTCAAATACATATAACGATCATCTTCATCTCCTTTCCTGTTGTTGAGTCGCAGCTAGATCTCACAGGCCATCTGCGCGGCCCCCCTTCTTCTGCTTGCCCATGTGCAACACGCGCACATCACATATCCCTGCTGCGCGTCTTTTCGGTTGTTGCAAGCTTCAAAGACAGCGCGTCTGCATCTACACGTGGAATGAGACAAAACGAGATCGCGTATCTCGCTCCCAAAACCGTTAAACCCTTCTTCATTTTCCCTTTCTGTCGCTCGCGCATGCGCTTTTCGCACCGCCCTAACTAACCTTATGCCGCCTTGTGGGGCCCTCGTTTTTGTTCTGGTCCCTCGCTCCTTCTTCAACGGGGCACCCATCTCCGTTACCACACACCCACCTGTGCCGAACTGCGCCGCAATACAGTACAGTCGTGCCGCAATCACGATTGTATTGATTTTTGGCGCACTGGTTTCAGATGTCTTAATGGAAAGCGCTGTGACAGGTTCGCTTACGTCTTGACAAGGCTCTATTTATTTTTTATCGCGGCTGCTCATGTGGTTAGTGGACACGAGACAACCGTTTTTTTTTTGCGGCAGAGGTTTGGGGCTTGGGCTTTCACCCGCGCGGCTCGCGTGTCTTGAGGGCGGCACGGTGGTAGTGGTGCCGTACCTTCGCGCAGAAGGTTTGGAGATGGGTGCGGCGCCGCAATCGGGCCTTTCGTGTCTTGGTGCCCTGCCCGCTATGGAGAAGCGATGGACACTGTTACATTGTGCGTTCCTTCGTGTGAATCCTGTCAAAGGGCACGGGGACATGACGTGCTTTCGCGATGAATGCCAATGCGCGCGTAGTCTGCCTTGATGATGCAGGTCACGCATTCGGGTCTGTTACGTATAGCACTGCGCATTCTGTTCTGTCGCCTGGGTAAGATGCATCATCGCTGTGGCTGCGCTACTTGCTTAGCTATGACGGTACGCATGGGTCGTGTGCCTCCTACCTCCGACTTTTCCGAGTATATCGGTGCTTGTATAAGAAATGTTAGTAGTAAGAAGGCGTGATCGACGCCAGCATCCCTCGTATGCCTCCATTCCAAGCTCGTGACTGGTCAGCATAGTCAGCCCTATGTGTAAGCTACGTGGTACAGTCCCTACTCCACGCGAGCACGTAACAACTTACTTACATGCCACTGTTGTAGTATGCATGGGCTCATAGCGCGAATATGCTAGGGGGTCTCAGCTACGCACACCGTACCTATCCTCGTCATCATCCCCTGCGTCTGCCACTATCTTACTGAGGAAGTTTCACATTCTTAGTGATCTCTGGTCGAGACCATTCTTCGGCAGATGCATCAAGCACTGACAGACTGATTTAGCCAGTGCGATTGGAAGGCACGGATGCCATGCGGTCTCCTGGGGCGTAGACCAAGGAGATCAGCAAGACGAACGGTCCTTACATAACGCGTGCCGACTTGCGTATGTGGGTAGATTCGGATATTGACATCGAGCATTGAGCTCATGCTGATGTTGCGGAGAAGAGGAGCTCGACCGTATCAACCCCCGGCTGATGGACTACCACAGGCGTATAGAGGATGATAGTATCACATCTCCACACCATGTGGGGATCTGAGCAGGAACACCGGCTCCTGCGTGCCGTGGCCTTGTATCTGTCAATCAAGGGCCCCGCAACCCTGAATTCCCCTTAAGCTGTCAGTCGCTCTTCAAACGGCACGGGTGGCGCCGGTATGCAAGACAAGAACTCTCGTCACACTGTCTATATCCTTCAGTGCTGCGACATCCTTTGCGCCGAGTGCTCTCCTATACGCACTGTAGATGTAACAGGTGGACGACGTCTACGTACTGAGTGTAAGCACTGCTGTCAGAAGCTCGAGCTCCATGCATGATGCCACCGAGACTTTCGCGGCAGTTTCAATCGACGCATCGACAATGGCTTCGAATACGGTCTGACGTGTACCACACATCTACCAGATCCAGCACGAGTACGGGTAGAAGTAGAATCAGGACGATGCTGATGGACCGCGCGGTGTAATATCATGCATCTGGTGATTATGACTGGTCAGCGCGTTTCGAAATCCGGTGGATGGCGACGAACGATTTGCTTGGTGATCGCCCGTGGCTTGCTCGGAAGGAGGGAGCTTTCACGTCACAAGCCCTAGTCAGCTTACATCCGCTCGCCAAGGCAGTCGCGGACCGCGATGAAGACCGGTTCGTTGCGCATGTACGCAGCTTACTTCTCCTCGACGTCGCCAGCGGCCCGAACGGCCCTACGCTCGAGTTGAAAACGGCTGGTAGCGGCCTTTCGCGTAAAACCTCCAATGGGAGTGGTGGTAAGAGTCAGGATTTAGTTGATAGACTTCTTCTAGAAGTCTTAATAGGCTGCTTATCATCTTAGACTAAGCCTCCGAGAACGCGCTGTGGCCAGTAGTAAGCTTCGTCGTCCGCGTGTGCTGTATACCCCCACGTTCCTGCGTCGTCGCGCATCACGCAGCGATCGGAACCTACCGCCATTCTACTTGGCTAGTCGTTGACCGCTGACGGCAGGACAGTGTTCCACGTTCTGAATCCGAGTATGAGTGCCAATAGCGGCGAGACTCAGACGCAGGATGCGGACTAGTACACTCGGGGTAGGTGACATTGTTCGAATCTTCGGGATCTCCTCCGCGTTGCCGAGCACGCGATAAGACAACGACCAGAGTCAGTGGAAAACGATCCCTGTAGCTGTGAATGACGCATTGAGCGACGGTTGAGGCTTGCGTCGAGGGGTTGAAACAGATCAGGAAACGGTTTGACTGGGTCGTGAGGTAGATGGAAGGGCAAGCAATGTGACAATGACAGAGGAGCTGCAGTTGACGACTCGACCGGGTTAGTGTTTCATGATCTACGCCCCACATTAGCAAAGGAGTGGAAGCGAAGTGTTTCCCGTCTCTGCGACCCAGACGATAGAGTCAGTCGATAATGGCAAATATTGTTGAACTGCACATGTTTTAGCCGCATCGCATGGGTTTCTAGAGGTGGCACAGAAGCGGCCAGATGCTAGGCCCTATGAAGTCACCCTGCACGTGCGTGTCGTGTCAGCGTGCATCCCTTCACGGCTCACCGGTGGTACTACAGGCTGCCGAACCACTCGTTCACGAGCTCATGGTCGGACAAGCTTCAAGGCTACGGCAAAGATCGATCTCTATTCCGATAATGCGATCGGCATCCATCGAAAATCAGTCGTACAAAACTCTTCGGCTAATGTTGGAAAGCTGTCGTGCTACACTCCGTGGAGTTGAGAAACGTAAACCGACTCCTGAGACGCTGCCGGGGTGCCGAACCAAGGGCCAGTCTATCGGTGTGTCGGAGGAACGAGTTAGGCATGCAACCTGCTATCCTCTTGCAGAAAGCACATACTCTTTACGCGACCCAGAGGTCCAAAAAGGAGGGGGGTCGGGACGTTTCAGGTCCGTGGGCTCGCATGCGCAACGTGGTATTGTAATTATCCATAGTGTCAGGCGCCTATTCGCGTGCGTTCGCCCCACCAGCTTTCGCCAGTCTGCAGCGTCTTCTCCAGATCTTCTTCGGCCCTTCTAGCGCTGACAAAGGGCCCGTCATCTCGGATCCCGTGCAGCTGAGGCCCGCGAAGCCGCCTGGGGTTCGCATGAGAGCTGGGAGCTCGATGCCTGTCTTGCTTCGCATATATGTGTTGAGCGTAAGAGGCGTCAATAACGGCGGTGATCGCTGGGTAAATAGTTGCAGAGTGACAGGAAAGAGCGGCAATTTGCCTAATTATGTGCTGCTACATTGGGTCGTTTGCTGCGTCATATGCCCTTAAGTGGTGGCTGCGAATTGATATTAATATTGCCGTTTTGGGACGAATCGCGTGGTAAGAGGCGCACGCGCCGTTGAGGTTAATTTGGTAGTAAAAGGGCCCAAAGAGAAGCGGTGACGATGAAGTATCTCCAAAGTGCGATGGACTGACGATGATAAAGTTTTGTTTCGCTATACGGTGTAGCTATGTAGGTGATCTTGCTAATGACGCGTCTTTAGTCTTCGGCCTTGGCGCTTTATGTCCGTTATTTCCAGATTCGCCGGAGTATACTCATCCCGTCCTTGAGGCAACAGCCGCTCAAGATATATAACTATTTCCATTCATTCCGTTGCAAAGGTACTATGCGTACTGCTGCCCTCACAAGATTGTCAAATCTACGTTCTCAATTGCCCCTTCCCAGATCACCTCGGTCCTTCCATACGTCATCAGCAATGATGGCAGGGCTCACCATCAACTCGCAACAGACCATGCCATCAGGCTACAAGATCCCCGTCCTTGGATATGGCGTTTACCAAACACCAGCAGACATCGCTTCCGAGGTGGTTGAGCACGCGCTCAAAGTCGGCTATCGCCACGTTGATTCTGCCGTCGCCTACCGGAACGAGCAACCATCTGCGGAAGGCATGAAGAAGTCGGGCATTCCAAGAGAAGAGCTATTCTTCACGACAAAGATCCCTCCGAAAGACATGAACTATGAGAACTCGAAACAGCACATCGAAAACACCCTCAAGATCACCGGATTCGATTACGTCGATCTCTACCTCCTGCACAGTCCCTACGGCGGTAAGGAGAACCGCATCGGTGCGTGGAAAGCGCTAGTTGAGGGTGTACAGGCAGGCAAGATTCGCTCAATTGGCGTTTCGAACTACGGCGTGCATCATCTAGAAGAGCTAGAAGCGTGGACCAAAGAGACGGAGGCAAAAGAGGGGAAGGGCAAAGGTGGAGTCCTCAGCGTCAATCAGGTAGAGCTTCACCCGTGGCTCGCGCGTCCAGACATCGTAGACTGGTGCAAGCAGCGAGGTGTGTTATGCGAAGCATACAGTCCAATCGTGCGCGCAACAAAAAACGACGATCCGCTGCTCAAGCCACTCGCGAAGAAGTACAACAAGACGCCTTCGCAGATATTGCTGAGATGGAGTATACAGATGGTGAGCATGAATGCAATAACTCTTTGCTAGGGAGCAATGAACTGATGTTGCTGTTACAGGGATTCATACCGCTCCCCAAATCCGTAACCAAATCTCGCATCGAGGAGAACGCCCAAATCTATGACTTCGAGCTCACAGCCGAAGAGATGAAGAGCCTGGATGCCGGAGTGTATGAGCCCTGCGCATGGGATCCCACCGTCAGTCACGACTAAAGTCGTGAACATATGCATGTATCTACCGAGAAGCCAACGTAGATTCAAGGTTCAGAGCTCATGTCGTTCCACATCGGAAATCCGTGTCCATAATTTCCAGGGCTTCTACCCGTGGAGTGAGCACGAACATCGGGTAGTGTGGCCACTGATCATCCACCACACACCAGTCTTCCGTATCAACATCTGCTTTCGCTTCACATTTTACATGCGCTCTTGGGGTTTCCCAGAGCCAATTCCGTGTCCAGTCACCAATCCAAAAAGTTGCTCTTTCCAGCTCTTGCCCTTGCTTCTTGTCTCGCATGTAATTGAAGATATTCAGCGCACCTTTTCTGTTGAGAAATAGGTATCTGCCGCCTTCTGCCTCTGCGTGCTGTTCTCCGAGGGCGCGGAGCTCTTTGTAACTCCACTCCCGTGGCCCGAGTATGTCTATCCAAAAGTTTGCTTCTCGTAGCGTGGGTATGGTAACGATCTTTCCCAGCGTTTCCAAGGGTGAGCTGCTAGCGTTACGGAAGATGTTTATGCTTAGATGCCTGATTTTCTTTGCGCTGTTTCTTATCATCTGAATCTCGTCGTCGAGATCGCCGTCATACCTCCATGGATAATGCTCAGTATCCCAGCGCATCTCAAGACTCTCCAAAGATCCGCCCTGCTGGTTCAGAATGTCTTCGAAGAGGAAGGTGTCGCGCTCGCCGTTGACAAGAGACAGGTGCGTCAGCGTGTTCTTTGGCAAGTCGAGGATGAGTTCGCCGTCTGTCGTGTTCAGCGAGCGCAGCGCTCGCGACTGCGAGAGAACCTTCCGCACGCTTTCCGGGACGGTGTCTACAGAAAGCTCTTCGATACGCGTCCAGTTCATTGCGTCAAGCCACAGCTCCGCGTTGGTCTTTTCGCACTGCTCTTTCGATTGAGTGCGCCATCCAAGCCAGCTTATCCAATGGCCTTTGTAGACCCAATACAATGTGTCCATGAAACATTCCAGCTTGCCTGGCGCTAGACACTTCGGCCCTTTCCAAATTTCGTGATGCTGCCATGTCTCCCACTGATAGCCTTCAACCTTCAAAGATCTGATATCGGGATATCTCTCCCTGCCGAAAGGGCTGAGCGGTAGGTTCATCCGGTCGGGCCATGTACTGCAGAACCCGTAGACACCGATGTCGAGGGTGGATATGTTAGGGCAGGTAAGGAGGGCTGAGTGGACGGAGTCCCAGGTTGTGAAGGGTGTGACGTCGTATGGGAAGCGGTCGTCGAGGGACCGGGAAGGGTCAGCGTCAATTTTTGCCTCGATGGAAGTGGGACAGGGGTCTTTTGAATTCCACAGCGCTAGCGCAGTTGACAAGATGGAAAAAAGAAAGAATACGTGAGTGTAGAGGCGCATAGTAATGGTGTGCAGGACGGGGGGTGGCAATGTCAGTACCTAGCGTTGAGTATCGATGCATCATCTAGCTGGAGTCCGCCTGATATAACGTTTTTGTTTAGCTACAGGATGATTCAAACTATGCGTAATGTTGTTATGTTGTCTTCTTGGTGTTTTTACTGTTGCCTGAACGCGACGGCCTCAACAAGGCTCTTGCACGACTTTCAGGCGTCCAGGACTGCGACTCTTGCGCTGTGGACACATGTGCGATGCTGCTGAATTCTCGCGGCACGGACCTTAGGACCCAGTGTGCTTTTTGACGTCTCCAGGACACCTTTACAGGCGTTATTCTGCAGCCTGGCTATATACATCTCGTTCTCTTGCAGTTGCGTACGTTCGTAGTGAATGTTTGGAGGAGTTGAAGAATTGAGATGAATGGCACCAGCGAGTCATCTTGCGATGCGGGACGAGTCATGCAACGAACCGCCTTCACACGCGACGCGACGTGTCTTCTTCCCGTACAAGGTCGTCCATCAGGACGATGACGCAAGATTGTGCCGAGGTTATCCGAGACAGAGTATCGAAGTTTGTGCAACACGTCGACTACCTAAGTGGACCTCGGGAGAGTTGGGGGGGTGTGACGTTTCTGAAGGACAGAAGGCGCCTACGTCATACTGACCTTGCAGCGAAAACCATAAACATATACACCAACCCCTCGTATCGCCCTTTCCCATCTCCTATACAAGACACCTTGATACCCAATTCACTTCTCAAATTCCGAAACATTAAACAACCTGTTCCTACCAACCTACATATACAACTCCAAATCAATCATCATGGCGGCAAACAAGAAAGTCCTCATCGTGCTCTCCGACGCGTCCTCCTTCCCCCTATACAACACTGGAAGTGATGGAAAGACCGTATCTCAAGACTCAGGCTACTTCCTCATGGAGCTAGCGAAGCCTCTCCAAAAGATCCTCGACGCCGGCTACGAAGTGACATTCGCATCACCAGAGGGCAAAGAACCCACACCAGACCCACTCAGCGTATCTCTCGCAGCCTTTGCTGGAAACTACTACGAGAAGCAAAGAGAGCTGGAGCTCATCGAGCGCATGAAGAAAGAGAACGGCTTCTCGCGACCAAAGAAGTTCTCCGAGATCAGCGACGACGAACTGAAGAACTACGGCGGTGTCTTCATCCCCGGCGGTCACGCTCCTTTGTCCGACTTGGGCGACAATGCGGATCTCGGTCGCATACTCACACACTTCCACACTTCGTCGAAGCCAACTGCTGCGATATGCCACGGACCCTGGGCCTTCCTCTCGACCAAGTACGGTCCGAGCAAGAAGTTTGAGTACGCTGGCTACAAGATGACGAGCTGGTCGGATGCTGAAGAGAAGTTGATGGAGACCATCTTCCGGGGTGAGATAGACAAGGTTGAGGGCACGCTTAGACAAGAGGGCGCGGATATGCAGGAGGGCGTTGCTAAGTCTATGGGAAGTATTACTGTGGATAGGGAGCTTGTTACCGGCGACAACCCAATGGCAGCGAATGCGCTGGGTGACAAGTTCTTGGAGATGATGGCTGCGAAGTAAGTGACACCTAACGGGACGTCGGTGTTCATACGGCATTATGTATGATTAGATGAGCTATGAATATATATCGAGTTACTACATGTAGTCAACGTCGCCTCTTCCTCATCTCGGCATCCGGTCTCATACCAAACTCCTCCTTCCTGTACCTAACCCGCATCCTCTCTTCCACATCTCCCCCAAATCTTCCCAAGCACTTCTGCGCCCTCCTCATCTTCCTCTCCACCAATCTCCTCAAACCTACCGCCGTCGGTCTTCTTGCCGGTATACTCTGATTACACAGTTCAAATATCCCTATCAAATCCCTTGTGTAGTTTGGCTCATCCATCGTAGGCGCTAGCACAGGAACGGTATGCGTAAGAAAGCGACTCCGTGTATGATCTCGATGTATGGTATTGGTGATAGCGCCGTGCCAAAGGCCTTGAGCCTTGTGGGGACCAAGAAAACTGTGCATCATCTCCCAGAGTACGGTACCCAGAGACCAGATCTCTGTTTTGCAGGAGAGCGGCTGCCTTTGGAAGTAGCCGAAGCCTTGGGAGTCGGGTTCTAGGGTGTGCAGCTCGATATTGTTCTCAGGTGCAGCGTAGCCTCGGGTGAACAAGTGGTACTTCTTGGTGTACTCCTCATATCCAAAGAGCTCAAGCATGTCATCGAGGTCTGCTAGCACAGGTCGCGGGAAAGAAGCGAAGGGTTCCTGAGGCTCCATAAAGAAGATATTGCTGGGCTTGATGTCGCGATGCACTTTTGGTATCCACCCAAAGGCCTCTGCTGCATCGTCCATACCCGGCGTGTACATCAATCCGGTCGTCAGGTTGTAGATTGCTTCTGAGATTGTGATGAGAGTGATCCAAAACATGGGTTCAGGAATCTGGTCGTCGGTATCCTGCTGCCATTTTTCCGCACTGTATTCTTCGATGATGTTGGATAGTGTGCCTGCAGAGCAAAAGTCCATATATCTTTTCACCTCGTACCTGTGTTTGGAATCGGGACCGAGATGCTCGCCATGGTCGTGACACGACCAGAATCTGTGTTTTAGTATTGCGCCGGAATTGGGAAGGGTGTCGATGATCCGGCAAACTGCCTGTCGCTCATTGAAGATGGCTCTGTCATCCGTCGTGACCTTTTTGATCACAAAGCGCTAGATCGATGTTAGTACGTATCGGCGACGGAAGAATAAATCTCGTGACTTACGTCGCGTATGATGTTGGCCTTATCTAGCGCGATGTACAAACGTATAATTACGTGTTTGTCATCATCAATTTCGTCAGAAAGGGTCTGTAAGAACTGATACCGGAGATCTGACTGAGGCCATGTTTACTATTCTACAACGAGCTTTCTGCTGATGTTAGGGATCGTCGTAGCAGTTTGCTGTGGTCGACTGCTCCGATGTTGAAGACATCCTGCGGTAAGTGCTGCCAGATCGGCGTACAGCTGAGTTTCTCATATAAAGAAAATAATCAGCATCAAAGAAAGGCATCTTTCACATGCTGCGTCGTCGTGGTTTGCCAAAGCTCTTTGTTCTGGATAGCAGTAGAAAGAGCGATGTGTGACGTCATCAAGTATGACAGTCGGATCTCATTGGCGTAAGACGAGCATCGCGCCTGGTCTCCTCGTGTGTGCGCACGGCGTCAGTAGTTCTCTCCACTAGATCGAGCGCCATTGCTGATGAATAGAAAATCGTGATGAAGTATTTGAGGAGGACGAGTGTGATGCTTCGCGACCTCGTCGGAAGCACCTAAGCGAAGCGCGTCGCCCCCGGTCCACGCGCCGAGCATCCTCATCCACTTTTCGCGTCAAGCATCATCCGGTGATAACGGCAGCTTCTGCAGCACCGAGGCAGAGGCAGATAATCCAAGATAACACGACTGCAATTAGCTCTCACCGACCCCGCATCCAAACGATAGCTAACACCGATCGTCCTCAACATTCCAATCATCGCCAGTGCCGTGATTGCGGCATCCGTTAGACGCCTTCCCCAAGCGCAATGGTGACTGCCACTATGGGCAGGGCGCAGTGTCTGACAGCGGCAATGGAGCCTCTGATAGCACGAACGCTATTGTATTTGTGAATGCTCGGCGCGGCCTCGGCGCATTAGCAGCAGCTCCAAAAAGCATGGTTATAGCATGACGCAGGGCCATCCGGTAATCCATCATCGAGTCCTCGTTGTAAGACTGGGATAGACTCAACCTCATCGCTGAACCGCGATTCGGCTACGACACCATGGCCACGCCTGGTTACAGACTCGGCGTTGATGTCGGAGGGTAAGTAATGATCGCCTCAATTTTGCCTCATGAACCGGTGGGAGGCCTGGACGCCCACCCGCTAGCTTCTTCCTGGCACCTGCGGCGAACATCCAGAACTTCCCCGAATCCACAGATGCCAGCACCTCGCGGCTTGTCTGAACATGGCCCACGTCAAGGAGCGCGGCTAACACGATCCTAGAACCTTCACCGACGGTACGGCCCTTTTCCACAAAGTATGCTTCATCTCTTAATCGAGTCTAGTCTGCGTCATCACCCCGAACGGCGAAGCGGTACGCACAAAAGTGCCGACCGACACGACAGATCAGTCTATTGGTGTGCAAGACGGAGTGCAACAGGCACGCAAAATCTTGAAAGAGAAGTACAACTGGGACGGCAGGTTTGAGTACATACACCATGGCACAACCACAGGTACCAATGCGGTGCTTGAAGGCAAAGGCGCCAAATGCGGTCTCATCGTCACCAAGGGTCACAAGGACATACTGTCCACACGGCGAAGCCAGATACCAGGCGGATTAGGCTCATGGATGCACTACGAACAGCCCGACCCTCTCGTGCCTCTCGAGAGGACTGTAGAAGTCAAAGAGCGTATCAAGATTGACGGTGAAGTCTTCTACGAGTTGGACGAGGATGAATTACGAAAGGACTTGCAAGATCTGAAGAGACAACAGCCGCAAGCAATCGCCGTATCGCTGATCAACTCCTTCGCGAACAGCGCCCATGAAGAACGCATCAGGGCCATATTGAGCAGCGAGTTTGG